AGGAAACAATACTAAATCCTCTAGTTCCAACAAAAACCAGCACTGATCCATAAATTAATTCACTAATTTAAAAGACTCATCTCACTAAGAGATAGTATTTTTGAATTTAATAGTGTTTACAAAATTCAAAAACATATTTAATGTTGTTTTGGTAATTGTGTATGATTATTATTTGTAAAATTAACTCAACCACAACATTAACATTTAAAGTCTTAGGATTGCTGGAAATTTTTATAAATATAATTTTAATTTATAATCTTGCTTTTATTGTAGAGAAGAAATATAAATAAAAGACTTTCAAGCTTAAAATATATGAAGATAAGATTCAGTTTAAAAAGTAGACTTTAAGAAGGCACAGGAAAAAAAATAAAAAGTAACACTGAAGAATTGTATCCTGTTGAAGATCTTATTTTTGTGTTTTCTAAATAAATGTTGCTGTTTTAAATCACTCTGTTGGGGCGCCTGGGTGGCTCCGTCATTAAAGTCTGCTTTCCGCTCAGGTCATGATCCCGGGATCCTGAGATCATGCCCCGCATCAAGCTCCCTGCTCTTTGAGAAGCCTGCTTCTCCTTCTCCCGCTCTCCTTGCTTGTATTCCCTCTCTCACTGTCTCTCTGTCAATAAATAAATAAAATCTTAAAAAAATAAAAATAAAAATAAATCACTCTGTGTTTATATCCCACTGGAATCATTTAACAGGGTGATGCGATCATTTTATTTAAAAAAGATTGGTATTTACTACATATTGGAAGGTACATCATTTGCAACTTTTTAGACTGAGGATGAAACTTTTGGACGGCAATTTAACAATACTGCAGAGATGTATTTTTATAAAAATTTTAAAGAAGCGCAACAAGCAAAAAAGTTTGAAGAACACTGGTCTAGGTTTGAAAATGGAATTGATGACTCATAAAATCTGTTAAACCTGAACTCCACAAACTAATGCCAGAGTGCAGGGATACACATATCGACTGGCATGTCGAAGTAAGTTTTTTTTTTTTTTCCATATCTTCACCAATGTTTGAAATTTTCAGATTTTATACTTTTTCCATCTTTTTTTTTTTTAAACTACAATGGATGTCTACACATTGGTGTCTTGTGCTTTTAATTTGCATTGCCCTTATTACTGGTTAGACTGAGCATCTTTTCATATGCTTATCAGCCATATGGGCTTCTTTTTCTGTAGTGTGTTCAAGATTTTGCCCATATTTTTTCTCTTGGGTTGTTTGTGCTATTCTAATTGCTTGGAAAGGATTCTTAATATATTCTTGTTACTCTTTCTCAGTTATATGTAGAGAAGCTACTTTCTCCCAAGTTCGTGACTTGTGTTTTCATTCTCTTTATAGTGTTACGTGATAAACAGGAGTTTCAGTGATTTCTTTGCTTCTTATTTAAGAAATCTTTCCCTATGCAAAAATTGTGACAATTATATTGTCTTCTGAAGGCTTCCCTCTCACACTGAGTTTTTTAATCATTCTGGAATGGATTTTTATGCTTGATGTGTAGGCATCCAGTTCCATTTTTTTCATGCAGATAAATGCTTATTATAGCCAATTATTTGAAAACACCATCATTTACCAGTTGATCTAAAGTGCCAATTCTGCTGTAAATCAACTTTCCTTATATGGCTAGCGCTGGGTCTGGGCTCTCTGTTGGTTCACAGACTAACTTACTTTGCTCTCTGTGACAGAACCAGCTCCTCAAGCCCACTTCCTTCTGGCCCCACCCCACCACATTTCCTAGCCACTTCTGGAACTGATGGGGCCAGGTGACTTAAGTTCTACAGGGGATCTGGACAGAAATCATGTAGAACACTTCCACACCGGGCCCCTGAATTTCCCATGAAATCCTTCCCAGTTTCTCTCTTCCCTTGCCTGTGGCAGATGCAGGGGGATTCAATGGAGTCGTGTGAGTCTATAATCAATGGCAGAATCTAGTTAAGAGTCTGGGGTTCTGAAGATCTGCGTGATGCTCCTCCCCGCGCACCCCCATGTACCTTTCCCTTCTCATCCTGCCATCCACCTGCCTTGGATTTCTGTTATTATCATCACTTGTTTAAACTAACATGGATCATTGAGAACTAAGTGTCATAGACCTAAGATTTTTATGCTTGCACATTCTTCTGCTATGCAAATGGGAAACTGTCAGCAGTGCGACTTGAAGCTGCCTCCATGAGGATCTAGATTATTATTGGTGAAATAGATTCGGGAGACTGAATCCGTTACTGTAATACTATTTTTTTGTTTATAGGAGGAAAATAAAACATCCCATTCTTTTAGGTGGCCACCACTCTTCTAGCTAAGGGTTTATTCTCTGCTGGAGGAGATAGGAGACAGATTATACCTTTTTTTTTTCTTTTTTAATGGTTTTACTTATTTATTTGACAGAGAGATAGAGAGAGAGAGCACAGGTAGGCACAGCGGCAGGCAGAGGGAGAGGGAGAAGCAGGTTCTCAGCTGAGCAGGAAGCCCGATGCGGGGCTCCATCCCAGGACACTGGGATCATGACCTGAGCCGAAGGCAGACACTTAACTGACTGAGCCACCCGGGTGCCCCAAGATTATACCTTTTTGTGAAGGTATGTGAGAAAGCAGCCAGGCCAATTGTACAAGATAGGCATGCAGGTGCCAGGACTGAAATGCATGTATTTCAAACATTTGGATGGTTTTTTGTTCTAAACATAGCTCTGCTCCAGTGAATGGTGAATATTGACAGTAGCTTCCTCATTTTTGCTACCTGAAAAGGAACCACGTTAGTAATTCTTTCTTTGAATTGAGAGACAGAGGTGTCTGACATCCTTCTTCCAGTCTTTCAGTGATGTGGATAAGGTCTCTGTCCTGTCTTGGGCACTTGGTGTCAGCATGGTGAGCTAAGTCTCTGGAGTTGATTTGGTTTTACAGAGTTCTCTGGCTATCCAGCATAACTTGGTGACTTTGGGCAAGTTACTAAACCTGTGTCTGGTCAGCTACCTACAAAATGAAGAGGACAGTGGTCTCATTTTATAGGGTTCTGGGAGAAGTAAAGGAGATCATTTATGTAAAGCATCCAGAACAGGGCCCAATACTCAGTCAGTCTTATTAAATGTGGGCTCAGCAGTGTGAGAAATCTGAGCTAATGACCATAAGGAGACAGAAAAGATGGGTGGAAAAGATTAAAAATTCAACTTGATGAGTAAGAGTGGAATTAGAAAGACATGTTGTTCAAGTGAAATAAAAAACTAAGGAAAATCAAAATGTACACTGATCTTACAGTCTGATATGTCTGCATTTGGTCACTCAAAAAACTACAGAAAAAGTTTACACAATCATGTTTGGTTTGCAAAAATGTGGTTGCCAAAGGAACTCAAATTATTAATGTTTTTCTATAAAAAGTATTATCGTAATCGAAAAATTATGAGGCAAATCACTATCGATACATACGCACATGTGATAAATACAATAGGAATAATATAAGTAAGGGTAAAAAGAGCCCTGTCAAAAAGCGGTAATTGTTTTGTCATCTTCCCTTAAATACTGTCAGATACATTTTCGGGTGATTACTTCATAAACTCATTCAAGACAAAGAAGACAACAGAATTAAAAATATATGATGTTTTATTGTCAAAAATAGACAAACTTTAATTTCCTTTAACAGGAATATTACTTTTAGAATCTCCATAAGCCATCACCATTTTGTGAGCACAAAAGACAAGAGTCAATGACGACTGTTAGTGGTAGGACAATGGTTCTACATCCAAGCCAGAGAAGCCATGCCCACAGAATCACAGGTGACTTTTAAGCCCGAAACAGTAACAGACATGCAAACCAGGTCGACTGCTCCAGGCTCAGTCCCGTAAGAATCTGCCTTACCGTATCTTTTCAAACAGGTGAGGAGTTAGATTTCTTAGACTGCTTGATTTGAGTTATGCAATTTTAGGTCACATATAGGATCCGTAACAGGATCACACCCGCTTTTGAGCAACACCAGGATGAAGACATTTGTCCCTATAACCCTGGCTTCAGGAACCTAAAGTGGTACTGATAATTTGGGCAGGAGACCTGACCAAGCTCCTTCTCTGTGATTTACAGCAAAAATATGAGGGCCTTGCTGTGTTGAATACTGCAGTCTGGAGGCTACGTTCTCTCATTAACATAAAACAAGAATGGCTGAGGACCTACCTAGGAGGAACAAGAAAAAAAATCAGGCCTTTCTTGTTCCCGTGGGACACCTCTCCAAGGCTGAAGAAAACTGGTTATCTAGACCATGATTTTCATTCCCTCGTCTGTACTGTACACCAGCTATTCTTAGCCAGAGAAGACTTTATAAATAGGCCCATGCTGATCAAGAAAATGGTAACATGTATCCATGTTCTCCTTTGAAGATTCAGGTTAAGGAGAAACACCTCAGTTCCCAGGAGAGGTCAGAGCCAGATAACACTGACTGGGTGAGAGGCTTCTTCTGAGGGTAAGCATCTGTGCTAATGAAAAGAAGCTAGATTATCAAATGAATGAGAAAGGAAGTGGATCTGAGAACTCACTTCCCAGCCCCTTACACAGTCACCATGCCCTCAGGGGAAGGAAGAGTGATTAACTGTATGCAAAAAAAAAAAAAATCTGTTCAACCCTTTCCACATCTCTAGCTTAAAGATAACATTCAGTATTTGAGAACTAGAAATACGGAGCTTGTAATGTACCATAAAGTTATTTTAAACAATACTGTGGTTACATGGATGACAATACAGCCTTTTGCCACCTCTAAAACAGAAGCATAGAGAAAATGCAAAGAAACACAGAAGTAGTTCTGTTCTTGTTCCAGCATTTCTTATATATCACGCTTGCGTGGGGTGAAGTTTTAATTACATTCACCCACAAAGTTCTAACCTCCAGTCTAGGAACCCGTATTTGAGTAGGGGCAGGAAAGCGGTGTGGGCTTCTGGAAGTTTCGACAGACTAAGCATCATGACGTTTCTGTGATTGAAAGGATTATGCTTAAAACATACAGAAAAAAAGCCACATGAAAATCAAATTACGCACATTCGGTTTATCGTCTATTTAGCAAGACTACCTGGAAAAAGCAAGGTCAAATATAAAACTAAAGTGGACTGCTTCTTTTATTCCATGCCATTTTGTAAAAACATGTGATACAGGCAAAAAATTGTACACTTTCTCTGGTCCTTTCTCAAAAGCCATGAACTCAGCCTTTTAGTTGGGTTGCCATAAATATGAAGCCTGGAAGGGAGATGACTCAGTTTGGGGTTTCAAACGTAGAGAGCAGGCAGGGTGACTAAAATGACTCTCTTGGAGCAGCTGCGTAGTGTTAAGGACCCAATCATAAAAAGGACCTTTGAAATCTCTGCTCTTCAGCACTCTTCAATGACTGTGGTTCCAATCAAGGAGTAAAGCTTTTTCTTCACGAGTCGGAATCCCGAGCTCAGGATCAGAGTTCGCTTGAGGCCAGAGGAGAAGCGACCTCGGCTGAAGAAAAAGTCCCTGAAGCTAGTCCATGAGCCGTTCTCCTGCTTAAACACAAGCGTCAGCTCAAATGTGGGCACCACGCTCGAATCACACACAATCTTATCCAGCTTTTTACATACGTTTTCGATTTCCAAGTTCACATGCATGATGCAACCTCGCAGGCCGCAGGGCTCCGTGGAGGACAGTCGCAGGACATCCTGAGCAATCCTCTGGGTCAGTTTCTCTGGGACGAGGACTTTCGAACAACCGAGTTTGGTTTGCTTTGATTTGGACAGACAGTTCTCCAGCATTTTTGCCAAACTCTGGCAAGTTGTCTCCTCAAACATCACCTCATTGAGGTTCGGTTCTGGAACAACGTAATCCCAGTAGTCAAAATCTGTAGGAAGCGGAAGTTCGAGATGAAGGAAGGAAAGAAAGAAATCCCAGAGCAGGTAAAGCACACCAAGACAGCAACGCAGGCTACTTCGATCTACCATGTCATATGAGCAACATGCCTGTTGCTCATATTTGTAGGGGAGTCAGCAGACTTCACTCTGGGGCTGCCTAGCTGGGTAACAGGGCAAGTCACTGAACCTCTCGGAGATTGAAAATGCATCTATGAAAGTTTTGATAAATAGGTTGGACCCTTTTCCTTTAAATGTACACGTGTCTTACAGACTGGATCAAAAATCTATATATGGTTTTCCTAGAACACCAGTGACTGTCTTTTCTTTCCTGCTCCCTTACTTGCTCTGAGGGTTTTCTAATTTTGTTTCACAGAGAACACGCTTCACTTTGGGAATAAAAATGGCCATAATTTTTTTTTTTTTTTTTTTTTTTGGATGAAGAGACTGTTCGTTTCTAAGAATTACATGTGTTTGTAATTGTAAAATGCAGGATTTTTGCTACTGTTCCTTACTAAAGAACTTAAAAGGAACTTGATGAACTATATTAAATATCGAATCTGTGTCTTTCTTTAAAAGTCTCTATGGGAATGGTCTATGGATCACAATTTTAGCTTCAACCTCTTTGATTAAAAATTGCTCAAAGGGAAGACCTTTGAGGTCCACCAGGATATTTATAACTGGCTGGGTAGTTTTCCTCGCCAAGCAAAACAAAACTGTCCTAGGAAAATAAAATTAGATTTGCTCAAAGGAATAGAGATAGCTCTGCATTTGGTCACCTACCTTCCAAATTAATCCTACCTCTTGGCAGGATGCCACACCACACACCACACACGCAGTCAACTGGGCAACCCCTCCCTAAGCATACTTCACCTTCATTGGCTACTGTCTCTCTCTCCCCATATCACCTATTCAATTAGGTCATTGTTTTTGTTTTCGTTTTTACAACTCAATGAAACAAATGTACTCCAAATGAGAAGGCTCCATATTTTACCTATACTGAAGACAGAACATTTTAGAGCTTTGTCCTATAAAATTAGATCACCAACCACCTGACCTTCTAAGTGAGGAAGGCCCAAAGAAATTAAGCAATTTGCGGATGCCACACAGCTCCTTAGTGGCAGAGCAGTGTGCTAACCTAGAAACTGCTGTTTAAAATTGCAAATCAAAGTATGTCCAGCACCACTGCTGTTTTAAAATTTCCTTCCTGCATTAAAAACAGAATACTGGGTATATCCACAAATAGAATACTACTCAGCAATAAAAAGGAACACACACTGGTGAAAGCGACCACTTTAAAGGACCTCAGAATTATGAAGTAGGCAGAAAGAAATCATATGCAAAAGAGTATGTATTACATGATTCTATTCGTATGAAACTGTGGAGGCAAAACTAATTTATGGTGACAAAAAGCAGATCAGTGTTTCCCTGGGGACAGGGGAGAGGGATAGTGGAAAATTGATGGCAAATGGGCGCATGGGAATTTGTGGGTAGAGAGCAATGGCAGTGGTTATAAGGAGAATACGTTGTTAAAATTCAAAATTGTACACTTCAAATTCACCATAACTTCACAACCCCTTAAGGAACCTATCTAACTTTTAACCCCCAAACTACGCTCTTAGCCGAAAACTAAACCGTGCAGTCTTCGTTTTGTTTTGTTTTTTTGTTTTGTTTTTGTTTTTTTGCTACTTTTGTTTCTCACTACCATGAACAGAAGATGCTAGAAAGTTTGGAAAGAAGTCTTTTCAGAGGGATTTTGCGGCACACCCTACATCGAGGAAGGGGGCGACATTGCCCGCTCTCCCATCTCATCTATCCAGGGGCCGCGACCTTTGAAGGAGAAAAAGGTGGGCAGCTGAGACGCTCACCATTTAGCAGGCTCTCCTGGTGGAAGCCATGGTCCAGCAACTCCGAAATGCAGGCCGGGTTCTTACTGCTCAAACTGCCAGTTGCAACCATGGTCAACGGCTCTGTTTCCCTCGCGGGGGCGGAACGGCCTTTCCGGGGCGCTGGAAAAAGAAAGGAAGAAGGACGGATTTGCAAAAGCAGGCAAGACGTCTTGTGCAGAGGCTTCTAAAACGCCCAGCGTCCCGGGAGCGCACTAGCGGAGGAAGTCAATTTCCAAAGGTGAGGAACGGGCCTCCGCAACTCAAGTTTCCAAAGCCCGGGGAGCGGAGACGCCAGCTACAGTCACGACCTAAAACTAAGTCAAAGTTAGCGAAACTCAGAGCCGACGTGCCCCGTGGAACGCACTGCCGGGCGGGGAGAGCGAAGCCCTCCGCCCCCGCTCCGTCCCCAGAGGCCGCTGCCTCGCTCACCTGCCGTGAATTCGCTGGGACCGGGGCGCTCGAGGGCAAAGAGGCGGGGTAAACGGAGGCACGGACTCTTCTCAATAACCTCCTCCCTCGGAGGCTCGGGGACCTGCAGACGCAAGCACTGGTCAACCCCCAGCCCACGCAGCACCCGCTCCACTGAGCAGCATCGCCCTTGGGGCCGGGAGGGCTTTATAGGCCCAGCCTCCTCACCCTGCCGCGGCCCGCCCACCTGCACCACCCCTCCGCAGCCCTGCGCCCCGCCCTTCCCGGGGTCGGGTTGCATTTCAACCCAGACACTTGCCGCGGCCCAGGGGGAGCCGCTGGGAATTGAGGATAAACTTGCGGCAGGGTAGACACCTGCTGTTTCCTGGTGGGCCGCAGGTCATCGAGGCTGCAATTCCGGATGTACGACCCGCCGAAAACTGACCACTTGCTTCCACTTCTGACTTGGATTCTTCAGCGCGACCCCACCCCCAGCGCGCGCTCACTCTCACGCCTCTGGTGCTCTTGTTAAGATTCTGTCCAGGGCAGCAAGAGCTTTCCGTCCTTTGTCTATTACCCTGACTTGAGGCTTCGCTGTGTCGTACTGAAACTTTGTTAATATTTGTTTTGATGTTCAATGAACATCATTTATGCATTTAGTTCTGGCCTCTAACCAAGACAACTCTGCTCCGTGGGTTTCTACATCTTTCCCTCCTGCCCGCGATCAGATTTAGCTCGCCTTTTCCGCATCGGAGGCTTTCCAGCATTTTAGGAAGGGTCTTCATCTCCCACTCCTCTCCTGGCGCCCTAAGGTGGTTTCATCTATGACTAATGCGTTTTCTCCGCTAGAAGGGTGAGCCTGGTACTCTTCCAATTAGACTTGGCTCCAGAGCGCCGGGAGCTTGAATGAAGGGGAGTTTGCCAAAAACTAAGCAAAACCATTAGTGGGACCTTAGCTGCTTCTTTCTGCTGGCCTGGAGCAGTTGTCATACCCAGAGGCAGACCTTTCTGGCCAGTCCTGTGCTCCTGGGCAGTCTTGAAGGGGCTTGGAGAGGTGAAGATACAGAGGAGTTTAAGAAACTGCCAGGGATATTCCCTGTGAGGCTTGATGTGCAGTTCTGAACCTGAGCGCACGTACGGGTCGGACCGTACACAGACGCAACATGCTCGCACAACCCATAAGCAGGAGGCCAAATACTAGGTTTTCTTCCAAAGTTACTACGCTCCCCCTCTCCTGCTTTGATGTGCAGTAGGAGACGGTCTGCTCAGAGTGGTCACTCCCGAAGAAGGTGGTGGGTCAGGAGGGAAAGGGAGGCGATGCCTGGAGGGGAAGGCTGTGTACAAGTAGAAGGATCTAGTGTTGGCTCCCGGTCTCTTTTGGATTATGTGTACAAGGATCTGTAGGTTAGGGCCTTGAAAAACAGTTTCAGCTGTCCAGGCTAAACACTCATAGTAAGAAAAACAACAACAGAAGGGGTAAGGAGGGTGTGATAAACAGATCAGTGGGAGGACCCTGGGAGGCAGAGCAGCAGAAATTAAAGCCAGCCTGACAGTCCATTTTTAACTCTACTCAGGCAGCTGCACTGCCTGAAGGTCAGGCCAGCCAAGGAGGGAGATGCTGATACCCTGGTTTGAAAGCAGATTTCCACTTCTATTTCAATAACAGAAAAGTGGGAAATAAACAAGCCCATTTAAGCTGATTAAAAAGCAGTTTCAGTGGCTAGTATGCTCAGGACCAATAGATGGGCCCCTGTTTCCATCTCCCAGGGCAGCTGCCTAGCTGTCTTGGGGGAAGGGAGAGGAGGGGAAGGGCAAGCCATCAAGAGTCCTTTCCTTAGCTGGGTGGCAATATTAATGAAGTGGCCACCTACCTGCCTCCAAGGAGAGTTATTAGGATTAATATAATGAGTGCTCTGAACCTACACCAGTGAAATAAAGAAATTACCCTTTTCATTTCCCTTAGGTATTTAGGCAAAATGTGTAAACTAAGTACTCCCAAAGGGCCAGAAAGATTATTGGGCCTTCTAGAACATACCAGTTACTCTTCGCTCACTCAACTAACTGAAATTTTGCAAAGCCCTTTGGGATTTTACTGCAGAAAATAATTTACCTATGTATGAAAGACTGAATAATATTCTCTTTGGCTGAATGGGCCCTGCTTTGGGGAATTACAGGGCATAAGGAATGATGATGTGAAACACATACTTGGGATAATTAGTGGAGATTGTCTTTCTCATCTCCTTTTTAAGGGGTAAAAAAGTCCATTCTATCACCAGTTTTCATCTCTGCGGGACCCAATTTTTAAAAATAAATTGTAGAGCCAATTTTAGAAAAAGCAAGTGCCATCGTAGTCTTGTCAAGAGACGACCGCCCTAGAACGTGCCTACACTTGGCCAGTTTAGGAGAAAGGCTGATGTACATTACAACAGGAGACAGTCAGGGACCATTGCCACAGCCGGCCATGAACATTTCATGGTTGAGGCACATCACGCAGGGAACAGAGAGGAGGCCTGGATTCTGAGCCCTGCTTACCGTTAGTCCATTAATTTTTACATGCGCTGGATATAGTTAAATATCATGGAAGGGTCACAGGGGTGTATCAGGTGTTTAGTGCTGAAGTACATTTCATTGCTGTTTTGTTATATGCTCTCTAGGGTTGTAAAAAGAGTTTGTGAGGGTGCTTACTGGAAACAGTAGTTGAATATGAAGAGAGATTGGTTAAATCACTTGACTCTCTTTCATAAACCAGTGTAATATAGCAAACTACCAAAGTCATAAAGTAAGGCCTTTGATTTAAGCATGATTTTTTTTTGTTACTATGATTTACTCGTCCACCTAAAAAAGAAAAATAGTGGTAACACGTGACAACCGTATGTTCATCTGATGTATATACAAATATGGAAGTTCCATGCCCCCCTCCTGTCTAAATATAGTATTCATAATATCATTGCTTACATAAAGCATAAATTCAGAACACCAGGGATATTATAAAAAATGAAAAACAAATATGATGCTTTAATATAATATTCTGAGAGATAATGGTGCTTTGTGCATTCATGACTTGGAGTGTTGAATATTTATTATATGTTTTATCGGCCAATTTTCACTCTTTATCCAGTATGAGCCATTGTTCTTGAGGTCTTATTAATACGGTTATATCCAGTGCACTGCTAATTTCATTTCATGAATTATGACAACCAGAGGAAAAATGACTGGGTTTCTTAATCTGTACAAGGGGTTCAGGGAGGATTCACAGGACACAGATTGCCCTTAGCAAGCTCATGTGGTTGTCATGAGATGAAAAGAGAAACCCTTATAATCAATGCTAAATATTATTTCTTTTTTATAAAGAAATCCAGGATCTTTCAGTGCACACTATTGGGGCATCTGGGTGGCTCAGTCAGTTAAGCATCTGATTCTTGATTTTGGCTCAGGTCCTAATCTTGGGGTTGTGGGATCGGGCTCTGTGGTGAGCTGAGCATAGAGTCTGATTCAGATTCTCTCTCCCACCCCCTTTGCTCCCCTCTCCCCCAATTCCTGGTAACTCGCACTCTCTTTCTCTCTTGAATAAATAAATAAAATCTTTAAAATAAATGCACATCATCTCTGGCTCTCCTTGGTTATGCCAAATTTGTAAATATAGTACTTATGTGTACTTTTGGAATAGGGTCTGGTACAGAGCTAGTGCTTAATGAGTGATAGCTGTTATTACTGCAATTATTATTCTGAGATTGTGGTTCTCTGTTTATTGCAGCAAGCTCTAATGGGGCTAAGTGGGATTGGGGAAGTATTGTTAGAACAAAATTTATCATCTTTCCTGTTTGCAGGAAATATGGAAAATATTTGCCATTGATTGGGAAAGATGACTTTTTTTCTATTATATGACATGCATAACTTAATGGGAGTGCAGGAAGGAGACTCTCTATGATAAATAAGAAAATAATGTGGGTACAAAGTTGTCTTGGTGCAAAATACAGAATTATATGTATTAACTTTCCTATATTAATCTAGGAAATGGTTTTCTGGAAAAAAATCACAGATATTTGAAATCATTGCCTAAAGAAGCACTCAAATGTTTCAAGGCATGTATGACCCCCGTGAACACTCTGGATGAGATATGTCATCATTGTTTTTGTCTTTGAGGGTGCTCCAACCAATAATTTCCATTTAATGATGAAATATGCAATGAGTTAGTTTATAGAATAACAAGATTTTCCATTAAGAAAGGTAACGTGAAGACTTACTTGGTATAAGACTAAAAAAAAAAAACAGAAAATAATACATAATATCTGCAGCTAAAAGCTGAGAGAAACTTCCAGTAGCAGAAGGCATTGCCTCTTTAAATTCAAGCAGAGAAATGGTTACCATAGTGACTTATCTCTTAAAATAGTTGTATGATTTTTTTCTTTTCATAAACAATGTTATGTATTATCTCCCTTGAAATTAAGAAAGCTGATATGCTTGAATGTGACACCATTTCTGATTTCCTCTATTATACAAAGATTTATAATTCAGGAGCCCACATAAGAGAGTGTCAGCTAGGAACATGGAGAAGGTCCTTGACACTTTTCTAGGGATACACCTTAAAATCTTGGCAAGTTCCAAGTTGGGGAATACCACCACGGGTATACCATTCCTTTGGAATTCTTGTATGCGTACAGATAAGAAGAGGAAAATACAGCTATGTGTTCAGGTAGATGGTGATCCTTCATTGGTCCCCCTCCCTGTACTAGCCAAGTGTCTTATTCTGATGGACAAACTTTGCACGATTTTTGTCATTCACATTAGTGTCCCGGAAAAATTCCACATTGCTTTGTGACATAACCCTGTGGGGTTGCACAAGAAAATAATTAAATCCAAGAATGCCCACGTATAGGCCAGATAGAAAAAATCTGCTTGCCTTGAGAGTGGGTCTGACCCCCATTCTGTAAAGAACATTAATGTTAAAAAGCTTGACGAGGTCAAAGAGAGATTGTGGTTTTGTGGGTTTTTTTTTTTTTAATCTTCATGGTTTAGTGGTTAGGTGTATGGACTGTGGGGCCTAACTGCCTAGCTTCATATCCTAGCAATGACATTAATTAGCTGTATAAACTCTGATAAGGTACTTAACATTTCTGTGTCTCCATTTCTACCTTTAAAAATGTGAATTGTAATAACTGTTCCACATGCAGGACTATTGTGGG